GATACTCATGCTGTTTGAAAAAAAGAAAGCATGGTATGTTGAAAATCCTGGCACGGAAGCGCAACACTCTGCTGTCCAATGTCTCAGAACGAAAGATATCAAAGGTTTGATTCAATGTATGGGTCCCAACATAAAAATTCTTGACTTTTGATCCAATAAATAAACCATTATTTGCGCATTGGGATTTCGACTCAGTGGCATCAGGTAATGTATAAGTGCTTTTTTTTATTCTCAAGATAACGGTTTGAATCCAACTCAATGCAAATTTGTTAAAAAATAATAATAATAAAATAAACCCTTATTTGCTGTCGGCTCAAGAAGAGAGGGCAAAACAGAACACATGAGAAAATACAAAGAAATTAACCAACATGCCTAATTGATTAATGATTGCAGTGGTTTGGTGGCTGTGGTAAACTAATAGTAAATTGCATTCGAAAAGGTGACTATGGACAGAGAGAAAAACAGAGCGAAACCTCTGTTCTCGTACGATCAAATGAGTCGTACTTGTCCAGACAACGAACCCAAGTTGCCTTTAACTGTCCTGTTGTGACAGTTAATCAGGCGATTTCTTAATGTTGGCGCTAGTTGGCCACATTTCACACTTGTCAGTGGTCCATTTAACATCAACTTTTCCAAATCACAAATGTAAAGGTCCACATCATCCAAAATGTTTGGAGTTGTAGAATGTCGACAGTACCTGTCGGATGCTCGCGGATAATATTAAGATTTTCGACTCGACAATTAAACAAAGTCCATCCTGGTTCTATAAAATGGGGCATGGATAAGCCTTGAAAAAACACAACAATCATCAGGCTATCATAAGTCTTGAGTTAGGTGATTTAGCAAGGTTCCAAGCAGCAATATGCCTTCTTTTAGCAAAATTCTATGTGACACAGATGTGAAGAAACAAATGGCAGTCAATAGCGACTTTGTTGGTCATCTCCCGGAAAGCAGAGGAGGGGAAACGGTAACTTTTCCTGTCGTGGACGGTTCGGGAACAACTTGGCAGTTTGGGTATTATGTTCGGAGGGATGGGCACCCGAAACCAGTTTTTCAAGGGGGCTGGCATGATTATCGCCGCGACAGAGGTCTCAAAGCGGGTGATAAAATTACCTTTTGGGCAGATGGCGGCAACTACAGCATCCAAGCAGAAAGGAAAATCAAACTGTTGGGTAAAGAGATGTGGACCAGTGACTTCTAGACATGGACAAGCAGCTGGTTGATGTTTTTGTTTTGTGAATTATAATCGTGGCAGCTTAAGTTAAAGTATCTTGTTAATTTTGTTTCGTGGAGTTGTGTCTGTTTGCAGTTGGGGTTAGTTAAATGTTATGTTCTGAAATTTGAATGTTTGTTGGTTTTGATTTGATGTATAATTGCGTATGTCTATGTTATAACTCTACTCTTTTTTTTAATCATCTTCTTCTCCAAAAAAAAATTAAGATTGCTAGAACATAGAAACAGAGTACTCTGCTCTGCTGTGTTTTCCAAACTTAATTTATTCTGATTGATGGTGAATAGTAAATATTTACCATCAATTTTTAGTACAAAAATAATATCATATTATAACCCTCAAATAATGGCATGTGGATTTTTTTTTTGTTTTTAAAGTCATTTATAATATTATATATATTTACTTATTATTTCATTTTCAATATTATTAATAATGTGTAAAGACTAATTCATTTTTTTAAACCCTTTAGCATAAATATATCATAGAAATTTTTTGAATTTATGATCAGAGAAACTTAAGCAACGAAAGCATCTAGTAAACTTTGGGCAAAAAGAAAAAATAAAAAAGAATCTAGAAGACTGTGATTGTTCATACATTTGAGTGTCACTATCAACAACCCTTGTAAATACTCTGTGCCTGTAAAAGTGGTGGTTTGCAAGCATTTAAATAATTAGTCAGACTAAAAGTCTAAAT